GTGAGCAAAGGACTTAACACAACCTAACAGCTTTCAATCTGCGGCAATACTCTTCAATTCATGGTGAGACCATTCTACGAATTCCTTCGAACCAACCGTTCCTTCGAAATGGAAAGTCATGTAACAGAAAATTACTATGAAATTTTTCAGATCCCAGTTTTTCTTCATAATCTAAGAAGCTAATGAAAAATATTCGTTTTTTAAAATTTAATCAAAGACAAATTAAGCTAAAATGCTACTTATAATAGTTAAAGAGACTTTCATTTTGTATAAAGAGGCGTGATGAAGAGATTCGAAGGTCGATATCACCAGAATACGATGGCTAAGTGTCATTATACTGCAGCCATTTGGCTTTAATATGATGTTTATGTTAACGCAGTACACGAGACTTCCCTCGTTTTGGGGGAAAACGGATTGAGCTTTAGCCCATCATATAATGGACGTATTCAGAAATGGAACTCATTCTTGTAAAAGCCTTGCTTCCAAACTAAATTAAGAACTCGTGGGCTGCACCAATCTCAAAGTCTTATTAGCACAAAAAGGCTGCAGTACGACAGGAGTCAGCAGTAGTCTTCTGGCGAGATCCATCTTCAAAGCACTTCTTCGTGCATCTTAATACTAAATGAAAGTTCTCCAAATAATAGTCTTAAAAGATTAATTGAAACCCAATTTTTCTTCGTATCTATTTATTATAGGTTTTTTTTAATAATTTGGATTTTTGAAAAGAGATATTTAATAAAAGGACAAAGATTTTAAGTGGCTTGAACTCATATGACTGAAGATAGGACTGAACTTAATATTTTTTAAATATTTACATTGAATCTGAAAATGTATCACCACCATTTTGTCGTACGAAATGAACTAGGCCAATCATAGTGAAAAGAAAAAAATAAAGAATTACTATCGCAATCACTGTGAAGCTATTTAAAAAATTCCTCAAGGTAAGCGAAGTGAGTCTGCTGGATTCAGACAATAAAATATACCTGCTGTTGCGCCATAATTAGCATCAGTTGCTGTTGCCGTTGCTGTTGCTGGTGCATTGCTTTCAAATGGGCAGCTCTGTTGCCATGATGGTAAAGACGGCCCCCAACACCTACTAACGCACCTGGGCCTAAAAGGCTAGAGATCCCGGGCATCGGTGAGGCTGGAGGAAGGTAGGCGATACCAGGAGTAGGACTTGAGCCTTGCGGTAAAAGAGTAAGGCCTGGTGTTGGAAAGGGAAGCGCGGCTGCCACAGCAGCGTTTGACTACAAATGTAGGTGGATATTCATTATAAGAGATGAAATAAAATTAATGAATGAGAGGATAATATGAAATAAGAACGAAATAAATAAAATAAAATAAAGGAATAAGCGGATATAAAAGCATGATGTGCAATAAGCTCCCAAACTGAAAGTAGCTAAAAAAACATAAGAAATGGCATTAAATTATTTATTGGACATAACAAATATTGTATAAAGCAATACAATAGCTTTAATAATTATTTAAGATGCAAATGGAAACATGAAAAAGAGAAATAGATATGAGTATTGATTTCTTAAATTATTCATGACAAATAAGTTCAA